GGCCAATGCTACTCAATGCAGATAAAAGGTTAAGTAAAATGAATGAAAATGTTTCTTGGACTTAGTGATATGGAGATTATTGCATTTCCATATAATAATGATGGCAAAATTACTAAGAACTTAGGCTTTCTGCAAATTATAATGTGTAACATGTCACTCAAACATAAAAGGTTTAACATAAATGTGCACAGGCACTTCCAGTCAAGATGGCAAAGTAGGTAAACACTGTGTTCACCTTCTCTCATGGCCAAATCAAAATTACAATTAAACTACAAAACAACCACCAAGAATCGCCTGAGGTCTTGCTGAACTGAAGACTTACAACTAAGGATATACAGAAGCAGCCACCTCAAGACTGGTGGGAGGGGCAGAGACACAGAACAGGCTGGTCCCACACCTGTGAGTGACCATTAAAAATCGTAAGGGATATCTAGGCTGCAGGGGTCACCTCTGAGGAAGCAAGGGGTCCCAGCACCACATCAGGCTCCCCAGCCCAGGGTCCTAGTGCCAGCGAGAGAAACCCCATAATTTCTAATTGTGAAAACCAGAGGAGATGAGTGGCTGAGAGAGACGCGGGCAGCTAGAGTCCCAGATGCTCTTCTTAAAGGGACCCCGCATGGACTTACCAACAGAATCACTGGTTCTGAGCTCCAGTGCTGTGACAGGTGCTGGAGAGGCAACTGGGACATATGGGGAGGAACTGAGTTGTCTGGTGTCAGGATGAGGGCTGGAGAGGCAGCTTTCTCCCAATGGAGGAGCTGGCAGAAGCTACTATTTCTTTGTCGAGCCCTTTTCAGCATGCAGACACTGGCAGCCACCATATCTGAGTCTCCTTCAAGCTAGCTGACACCATTCGTTTGCCACACCCAACTTCTGGGCACATCCAAACAGTTTCCAGTGGCTTTTTCGTACAAACCGCCTGCGTTGGCTCTTGCTGAAGAGTTTCCTAGGTTCTCTCAAAGGTTCACAGATCCCAGACACGCAGCATCTGGCTTGAGCA